ACATGCATTCTGCTAAATGTATGGGTCAGTTTGGGTGAACACGAGCATATAAAAAGGTCAAAGCAAGTAGCCGTCTGCCTCTTTAAATCCATTTAAAGAGCCTGAACTTGGGTGTGCGATGAAGAGATTGGAAGGTGGATCTTACCAGAAGGCGACGACAAATTCCTCGTGGTCAGCGTCATCTTGTGATAGACGCCACTTTCGAGTCTATTATCTCACACAAAGTTTTACTCGAAATGAAAATGAGCTTAGCAATCATATACAAAGAGATTCCTCAAAACCCAAATTTCAAGTAGTTTCAAGTAATTCTAACTTAACTTCCCATGAACAACTTTTGCCCCTGCTCATTTATATTCACTATTACGAACGGAAGATTGGAATTTATGACTTACCAATGCTTTCAGAAGGTTGAGATTCTCCGTTGAGCAATTGGTAACGACGTCCTATGCAATCCATCAGATACTCTGCACCCTCCTCGAAATCTTCGTCGAACGATTTAGGCGTTTTGAAGAGCAGGGCCAGAAAGATGGACATTAGTATCACCTAGAAATAGGGATCAAAGGGAATCTCATTCATGTATTAGTTCGTTTATCAGGTAATTACTTGTATAAACATGGGGAGCAGTATTAACTGAAACGAGGAGTATAGATGATTATTATAATTTAATTGCATGCATGACGGCTCTGAAGAATATCATCATCGTCCGGTATGCATCATGGCAACTTTAATCAACACTATCATCAGTAAACTGTATAATTCGCATCTATGCTGACCCCTTGGTCAACATAACAAGCTTTGTCAAAACATCGAAGCAATTCCAATTCTCTAAGCAACTTAAAGGAATGAATTTTTGTCAGGTTGCGCTCAGCTTTTAACTAATCTGCCCACCTTCCTAGCCATGCCTTGTCCACCAGATCTATTGCTTTAGACGGTTTATCGATTCTAAATCTCGTGATGGAGTAAAATAGTAACAATAAGAATACCCTTTTACGTGCGAAATTAGAAAAATTATTTTTAATGAACCTGGCTAATGGAGCATTTGAAAGCATGGCTGCCATACAACAGGTGGTTTTCAGAAAAGAAACTTTAAACTCGATAGAATACATTCTTGTGAACTTATCTCGAAATTAGTGGCTTCCATTATAAATCGGAACACATTAGGTAGATCATATTGTAGGACTAACGTATAGTCAGCTTGGAGAACGGAAATCAAGAAACTTCCTTTTGAAGCCGTGGAATTTCTCTCGAAATTAACTCTATAGGCTTTATAACGATTTCATACTCGCCTCGGTCTCATCAACACAACCAATACAATTCAAGTCAGGCCTAAGCTCATCATGTGGCAAACTCATCAGTCCACTTTACAGTCGCGGGTTCCATTACCTCGCTTTCAAGATCCAGATCACGTTTAATTCAGATCTAAATTTTTGAGAAAGATGAAACGGCAAGCTTTTACTTTACTTTGCGATATATGAAGTTACTTATATTCGAATTGGACACATATCACATTTACTTAGTGGGATTTTCAATGAATCAAAGTTTTATTGGCGATAGCAATCGAGCACACCATATATTTTTCATTTTGACTAGCAGACCTTCATCACGTTGAACGAAATAGGGAGAATATATCTTTTATAGGATTTAATGATGATATCGAACTTATACATAGGAAAAGAAAAAGTAAGCAATTAATCCGAATGTGACAGCAAATACAACTTTTCGACGTCGAGAATCCTATAACAGTCGTGTGATATTTTATAGGTCTTGGATTTATTGTAAGTTACGCCCGACCTGCCGCAAAAGGGAACTCACAGTAATTTAGCGTAGTGGCTAAATTGCCAAGCTTATAGGCTGTACTAGCAAAAGTGAAGTTAGAGTACTGAGGGAGTACAGATGAGACCTAAGAAAATTCAAACCTGCATTCCAGTCCACACTTGATAGGACCACCTCTTCTCGGCTAATCTGATCTCAAATCATATAATCATATCTGATCTAATCGAATCCAATCTAATCTCATCTAATCTAAAAACATCCCATCTCATCTCATCTCATTTCATCTCTTCTCATCTAAACTCATCTCATCTCATCGCTTCTCATCTCAACTCATCTCATCTCATCTCATCGTATCCCATCTCATCTCATCTCATCTCATCTCATCTCGTCTCACCCCATCTCATCTCCTCTCCTCTCCTCTCCTCTCCTCTCCTC